ACACACACACACACACACAAACACACACCCCTGACCTGATTTGGTGTACACAAGTCTTCATTCAGCCTGGAACCCTATTTAGCGGCCACCTCAGCCCTCCATGGCTCCAACCCACTTTAGCAAACCTAGACCTTCACATATTCCTGTCCATATTTCTCTTCCCTTCAACTCCTCCACAACTATAACCATTTGCTCACACTTGGCTCCCTTCACAGCCCTGACCCTCCTTATTGCACCTAGATCTCCTCCACAGCTCTAACTCACCTCCCCCCACACTCCCTGGAACCTCAATATACCCATCCTCCATGGACACAAGCATGCAGTATCTTCTTAATGATCTGAAATTCTTTAGCATATTTCAGCCCTTATACTGCTGGCTCTCCCACCCGCACTGGCACACATTTAAGCACCTCCATGGCTCTAAAGCCACATTGGCTGTCACTAGAACTTCATATTCCACCCTGCCCCACCTTAGCATACCCTAGAGTCTCACATCTCGTCCTCATGAACAAAAACACACTTTACACCACCTTGACCTCTAATACACCAGTGAACTTCTGACAGCCCTAAGACACTTCCCTCACCACTGATCCTCCTCCCATATATATAGACACACAACTCTGATACTCATTCGTGCTGACCAGAATAGCACTTACTGGACCTCATACTGCCCTCCATTTCCACATGCACATACCCTCTACATGTAGCTATGGCCCCCAGTACACTCTCAATTCTCCAGTTCTTCCACTGCCTGAGCATACTGTGAACCCTCGCACTCTGCAGTCCTTCAGGAACACATACATAGTATTAACACCATCCTGGATCCTCATTACCACACACAGGGCCTGAGAGCCCTGACCTTATTAGCACACCTCCTGGAACCTCTACATCCTCTCCCTCATGAGCACATACAGGCCTTCAAGAGATATACCTCCATTTGCACATCTCAGCACTCCTCTAATACCCCATCCCGTTATATACCTTGGGGTCCCGCCATCGTCCTGCATCCCCCCCAGCCCATTAGCACACACTGGGCCTCAAACCTTACACAGTGGCAAGGCATTACCACATACTCCGGCCACTCCACAGCTCAAGCTCCTATTTACCAAAGCCCTAGTCTTTCACCATTCTGTCACCCACTTCCACAGCCTCGGTCCCTTCAGACACCCTGCTCCCCACTCCCTATTAGCACCCACTGCACTTCCATCCCCAGCTCCCAGACCCGGCTCAGGGCGGGGCCAAGGTCAGGGAGGCCCAGAATGACCCCCCCCGCCCCAGTGCACTCTGGGAAATTCGCTGGGGGGGGAGGAGGAACATGCCAGCGGTGCAGCTTAGACCCCTCCGGGCAACGCCCGGAGTCTGGGTGGGTTCAGTAGGAGTAAAAGTACCCCCACCCCAAGTCTCGAGGACGCGCTCACCGGTGGGGGCGCGCGAGCAACCTCAGCGCCGCGGGGCCGGCGCGGCGGCGCCTGGGGCGGCGGCCCGGGCTGAGGCCGCGCGACCTCCTTCTCCTCCAGTTCGCCGCAGGCGCCCGTCCCAGTAGTCTTCGGCCATGGCTGCTGGGCTCGGGCCGCCGCCGGCTGAGGAGGAGGCGGCGGCGGCGGCGGCGGTGGCTGAGGCGGAGGCGGCGTCCCGCTCAGCCGGCCATGAGCTTGGCCGCTGTGGGCGATGCCCCCGGGCTCGTTGGCGCCCTCTCGAACCCTAGAGCTCACGGCGGCTCACGGTTCAGAGCCGACTGCTTGCGGAGACGCGGCGGATCCCACGGCGGAACAGCCAAAGGCCCACCCGCCGTGCGCGCCGCGCTCCACGCATGCGCACGCACGCGCTGGTCGGGGTGAAGTGGGAAGGAGGGGACTCACCTCGCAGTGCACGTACCAAGAGACCCGTCTGCCGCGGGAGGGGGTGCAGCCATTGCGCGCCCACCCGGGTGTATAGCGCCAGCCCTGGAACAGCACCAGGGGAAAGTGTAGAGGTTTCAGTACTCAGTTTCGATCTTATTAGAAGTTTGCTGGCGCCAAGGTGGACTGCAGCTAGTAACCAATGTGTCAGTCAGCACTAGCTCCCCCTACGCGGTCTCATTTGGTACATCCCCATGGTTGCAAACGGGACTTTTGCAAGGAGGAAAAAGATGATGCAGTCAGCTCTAGTCCCTCGCGATACCTCAGCAGACTGAAATCGTAAGGGTTCTCAAGATGACTTTTCTGCAAGAGGCCTACTGGAGAATCACTGGCCTTTATCTAACCTTAGATAAGACTGTCTAGCCCCGCCCACCTAGCTTCTTTCCCCGCCCCCCCATCCCCAGCTAACTCATTCCCAGTGTGAACGTGTGGCCGTCCCGCCCTTCGAGGTGATCGCCCAGCCAATCGGGTTTGCTCCCTGGGGTGAGGCCGAGCAAGAATGAAGGGCGTGGCGGGACTGAAGAGGCGTGACTTCGTTGCTACTGTCACCACCGCCACGCCTATACCCGCTTTTCATTGGCTTACCCCCGACAGGGGCGGGACCTTCTTTTTGTTCTGCGCTTCAGCCCCACTATTGGTTGAGTATCCCTGAAGGTGATTGTTCAGATGATCAGTCTATTTTCGCCCCGCCCTCAGCCCCGCCCATCTCCCTCAGCTAGGCTCACGTGGTGAAGCCTAGGTTAAAATGACAGAAAAGGGACACCACTAGTGCATTACTGTGCAAGCGTGGGACTTTTTGAGTTGGGAAGGGGCCTCTTTTCTGCTTCAAGTGAGCATTTGTGTATGAGCCCTGAATTGGGTTTTCCTGCATTGTCAACTATCTCCTCTTGTTCTGCCGGAGCCCAGCCCATACCTGCTCCAAAGCTATGGTTTTTCTATTATACTTACTGGGTACCTGTTGTCACTAGGGGTTAGGCTGACCTAATCCATCACCAGTCTCTACCTGGGAAACTAAACTATCACAAAACCTTCAACAAGCCTTCTGGAATACCTAGTCCCTGCACTCTAGTCCAAAGCTCAGCTTCTCTGCCTCTTCTGGAACTTTCCTTTCTGGTAACTTGTCACACCAGTTAGTTTCAGTTTCTCACACTAGCAAGGATTTACATGACCATGTCGGAAGTGGAAATATTTTGACAGAACAAAAAGCTCACCGAGGGTTAGACCACTGGGTCCACCATATTTTAGACCTCATCTCCTACCCTCCTTATAGTTCCCACCCAACTAATCCTCTTCTAGCTGTCCCCAAATAAATAACCTAGCAGCCTCGGGGACTTTGCACTTCTTGTTCCCTTTCCCTACAATGCTCTTCCTCTATATATCCACCTCTCAGCTCACTTCTTCCAAAGTCCTTGCTTCAATGCCACTTGTTCATGAAACCTTCCCTGACTAACCAATATATATATACCATGCCTGAAGACAGGATGACCTAGCAGGCAGCAGACAGGGGACAAGCTGTGATGTGTGGCAAGCCATGTTCAAAGGTAGATGGTGTACTCTCATACCCAGATTTGAGTGAAGGAATCAGAGGTCTGTTTGAAAGTAGAAGAGGGAACTTAGGATCTGGCTGGGGGAGAGAGGTGTACATGGCATCCTCCAGCAAGTCAAACTGGCATTTTCAAATCTCTATTCAGTCAAGATCAAGGACAAAGCGTGGGTAGCTCTGCAGTCCTGGCAGGGCCCATGGCTAGCCTCCTACTGCCTGCTCGAACCCAACTCACAGCTGGCTCTTCTCAAAGGTAGGAATCCTCAGGACAGGAAGACCAGCCCTGGGGGGGGGGGAGCGGAGAACGCGGCAGGGCAGTGGGAAAGGGACTATTATTTTATAGATGTTCTCAGCCAAATTCACAAAAATTGCAAAGTATGTGCAGGCACTTACATTCTTCAGTCTAGCAAAGCTTTTTAGGCTCCCCTGAGGCAGTAAAATTGAATAAGGGCACTGCTGGTGTTCCCAGCACTGGGAACCAAGATGGCAAAGGCCAGTCCAGGATCTGTGTGCTTCAAACCAGGTGGGATCTACCCCCAAGGACATAAGCCACCTTGACTAAGTCCTAGCCAACCTATCACCCTAACTTGCCTCTTCATAGACAAGGGACAAAATGAGAGAAATAAAGGACTTGCTCACACTACTACCTCACACCACCAGTTTAAGTCAAGGAGTGGGGAGCTGGAGATGGAGAAAATGGAATGAGAGCCCAGTTCAAAGTCACATGGACCAGGTACCTGCTCTCTCTGGCTTCACAGGTGCCTCCATCTCTTCCTTAGCAGGGAGGGCAGGAGGAAGAGGTCGCAAACATTTGCTCTGCCTAAGAAATGGCACCTGGAATGGGACTGAAGCCTATAGGTGACTACCTGAACAGAGAGCTCCAGGAAGCCCCTTCCTTCCCTGGAACCAGTAGGGCATGTCACACCTGGGTTAATAACTCTTTATTAGGATTCAGATTCCAAACAAGGTAGAAAGCAGTGGCAAATGGGGTTGAGGCAAGGGGATGAGAAAACTCCAGGCTTCGCTAGCTGTGCCACTGTCAGAGGCTAAATGAGCGCCCTGGGCTAGAAAGGGGTTTGGAGGAGTGGGGGCCGGGCCAGTCTACAGGAATGGATGGGGGTCAACGAATGGTGTATCGTACATAAGGGACCTCGACGTCCTCGCCGCTCTCGTCGTTGCAGCACAGCTCAAGCACCAGCGCCCGCACATGGCGGCCCAGCTTTCGCTTCGACACACGGCTCACTATCTCTGTCATCCTAAGGGCAGGGGAGCAGAGGGTCAGGGAGGCAAAAAATGAGAAAGGGGAAAAGACAGGTGGGAACAGAGGTGAAGGACAGGGAAGAGAAATGGGATGATGACAGCTACAAGTTGGGGCTCCCCACCACCCAACTCACGGCTGATCCAACCGTTCCTTGAGCTTGGCGGCTGGCATGAAGAAGGAATAGAGCATGGACACTCCTTGGGACAGCATGGTGATCTCCAATTTATGTTCTGTCTGGAAGAGGAAGGAAGACAGCAGTGTCATGGTGATGGACAGGTCAGTGAGCACCTACACATTCCACCCCCAGATGGGTATAAGATTGAGGAAGGGACCTCACCTTAAAGTAGTCAAGGAACTGTTTGAGAGTCATCTCCTCACCGTTAGGCTGCAGCCCCTGTACCTCAAAGCGATCCCACAACGTCCACTCTTGGTTATAGTACTGCAAGACAAGGAGCAAGCCAATGGGATGAGTGTCACAACAGGTCTAGCCCTTACAGTGTCCCCACTCCACTCACGCAGACGAAACTCCCTAGTGGCTTCTACTTGGTCCCAAGCAAGCACTGAAACCCTTACAGTGACCAACAAGACCCTATATCACTTCAGAAGTCCTACTCTCTCATTGCCTAGTACCCCCCACCCACCCACACAAAAGCCAACCTGTCTCCTAACTTCCCCTAAAGCTGGAATCAAAAGGCCTTTCAACAAGGCCTTTCCTGACCACCCCTCATTAAAAATCCCAAGCCCATCCCCTTGCCCTAGTCTTCTCAAATTAGCTATCATGGTATTTACACAATCTATTTCATGAATATAATCTGAGTACCTATTCTCAAAGTACCTGGTACACAGTGGGTGCTCAATAAATATTTCATGAGTGAATGAAGCAAATACACACAGACAGCACCCAATAAATCTTAGCTGCTACTACTGTATAGGTACTTGTAATTTACCCAGGACACAATTCAAATATCCCATCTTTTTTGAGAACTTCCATGTAAGTTAAATCAGTGCTTAGTAAATGCAATTAGTAGATAGTGAAGCCCTAATCTGCTGACAGGTTTTAACACCAACTAGAGCCAACTTCACTCACGCACATGTACATGAGCGCACACACACACACGCACCAACCACAAACCTCCCTCCCTCATACAGGCCCTCACCTGGTGACGGGGTGCAGCAAGAGGTTCAGAGAAGCCAAAGAAGGGCAGAGCCAAGTTGAGAAAACCATTTTTGTAGGAGTCAAGCTGTCGGTGCCCCTGCACCACCTTGTATAGCTCCAGACATACTAGGCCAACCACAGCTGCTGTGGTTGTGGCAATGGCTGGGATGATCTTCCCTGCAATCAGCTTGCTCTATGAGGAAGAAAGGATCAAAGACATTGGCAGTTAAAATGGAATAGACTCCGAGTCTGTGGAAGGAATGGAACATGGAAAATTCAAGCCTGGGGGGTGAAATGTCAGGCCTAGTTGCTCTCACCTTGTGCCGGTCTGCAGGAGGAATGTCATAGTTCTCTGCCCGGAGGTTGGATGCAGCCACAATGAAATCCATGTGGAAATTGCTGTCATCATCCTGTTAATGGGGAGAGTGAAGAGGTTACAGAAGACAATGAGGAGAGGATAGAAGAGAGGTGGATTATTGGCATGTGAAACACCTGTATCCTCTACTGAGATTACCTGCAGAGCTTTCACAGACCACAAAAGCATGGCTAGAAGTACCTATTCATTCAGGCAGGCCCGTGAACCAATCCCTACAAAAGTCTGAGGCTGCCTTCAGATGCCCAGATACCTATTCTGTCCAGCCAGTCTATGCTCTCCCCACTCCCCGGCCCTGCTCAGGGCCCCCACCCAGCACCTTTTCAAAGTCGATGGGGTACATCTTGAACCCAGGAAGCTTTTCTGGGCTGGGCAGTGTGGCCTTGAGCTCCTCTAGACGGCTGTCATCTGCAGGAAGAGAAGGACACTATCAGCCCCTTGGATCCTAGGCCAGGGTCAGAGGTAAAAACAGGCGCCCAGAGTGGAGCAAAGGTATTCAGCGAGGTAGATAAGGATTTCAGAGGGAAAAATATCCTGGGAGAGAGGAGGGTAAAGGGGAGAGGTAGGGTAGAACAGGTACAAACCTGACAAAAGATGTGGGATATATCAAGAGAGA